ATGAATATATGCCCAAAGTCTCAAAGAAAATATAAAATGTTTTCCTTAGGAGACTCTCAACTTATCCAATATACAGTGAAGAGTGGCAGTGTGGGAATCCAAACCAGCTTAATTTTGCAGCCTAATAATGTCAGCAATATTTGTTATATGTCCCCTGATATACACAAAAAGAGCCATATTATATATGACACTCAAAATGTCAAACCATTCTAGATACAAAAATTATTTTCAATTCTGAAGTTAAATTTCATGCCAGTCTACTTCCTCTGTACAATTAACCATTTCTTTTCAGTAGATTTGACAACAATACTTTTAGAATACTATTTAGGCAATGAAAGATGATTTTCAACAATTCTCCAGTGAGAACTGCTTTAAAAATACTGATCTTTTCTCAAATATGAAACCTTAAGCTGGACAGTTTATACTTCTTCCCTAACCTCCTCCGGAACACTTTTCAATGTGTAGCTTAATTCATGTTTAGTCAATTTCATAGCCTTAAAAATATAAATTCTAGGGCCGGCCTGTGGCTCACTCAGGAGAGTGTGGTGCTGATAACACCAAGGCCACGGGTCGGATCCCATATAGGGATGGCCGGTTGCTCACTGGGTGAGCATGGTGCCGACAACACCAAGTCAAGGGTTAAGATCCCCTTACCGGTCATCTTTTTGGGGAAAAAAAAAAATATATATATATAAATATATATATATATATATATAAATTCTAGGCTGGCTGGTTAGCTCAGCTGGTTAGAGAACAGCCTTATAACACCAAGGTCAAGGGTTCGGATCTCCTTACCACCCAGCCACCAAAAAAAAAAAAAATATATATATATATGTATATGTATATATATACACACACACACATATATATAAATTCTAGAAACCCTATTTCCAGCACAAAGGACACAACAAACTCAACATACAATATCTGATAGTCCCTACACTGGCCAGCTGCCCCCCCCCCAAAATATAAAATCTGATAGGTGATTAGAGTTACCCCTTTTATGCTTACAATTTGCATTACTAATACAAAGGCTATCTAATCTGTATGACTTAATATCAATGCTAACAGCCACTAGTCAAAATGACATATATTTAACGGCAAGTTTTAAGGTTCTGAGTAGTAAGTGTGAAGGAAGAAGAAAAATCAGAGAGACAGGAAACTAAAAGTAAAATTTAAGGACTGGAAAGTTGGCCTATGCAAGAGATGGCAGAAAAACAGGAAAACAAGATTAGAAAAAGTTGTTTGCACCCAAGAAATACAAATACGTTCTTAATCTGTTTATCTAAAACAATTCTTATCATATACAGTATTTCTTTTCAGTTAAATGGAGCCTTGTATTTTAATTTAACAATTTGCTATTCTGAGAATATCTTTGTTTATTCACAGCACACCTTCATGATCCAGTCCTACCTTCCTCATTCAGACTTTTATTCCTATTCACTGCTATATTCCCAGGCCCTAAAAATGCACCCAATACATAAAGTGTCAAATGAACAACAACCTTTTGAGAGAGGTATATTACCAACCTGGTTTTACAGATGAGGAAACTAAAATTTAGCAAGATTAAGTAACTTGCCTAGGAGTTAGAAACCTCTAAAGCCAGAAACAAATCCACATCTGACCACAGTCTTTGCTTGTACTACCCTTACTGGGCAGAATAACTTCTTAATGTCTGCCACTTCTGTGTCTTTACTGGTGGCAGCTGTCTCTTCAATTCAAGCTTCAGCTTGACCATCAGCCTTTTCCTGGGCATCCTCAACCTCTGATTCCTGTTATGAACCTGTTACAACCGCTCCCTCTGTGCTGTGCCCTCTCCAGACATAACAGCATGTTTAGCCCTTTGCTGTATTTACATACATTCTCTCTCTCTCTCTCTCTCTCTCTCTCATCTCATCTCAACTCTAAACCTCCTGAGGGCAGGAATCAGTTATCTTTAAGTGCCTCTGGCACATGATAAGCGTTAAATAAATGTCTGATGAACGAATGAATTACTTCCTACAAATCCCTGATATAAAGGAATTTTTTAGCTCAGTTCCGTAACCATAGACAACCAGACACTATAGCTTGCCTGGCATGAGGGTGGCAAGAGCATGCCTGAAATTCTCTGCCCACACCACAAAAGAGCATCACTGTGCTATGTATGTTAAGGTAGTTTTTCAAGTTTTAAGAAATCTAATAGAAGGACAATACAGCTTGAAACTTTAAGGGCTGAGCATGAAATCTGTCTTTTCAAAGTGGCCTACCTGGATGGGACATCAATTCTCAACTTTAAATAATATCTGACCAATTCAAATTAAATCACTCTTTTCAGTGATTTTGCATATTTTGAGTAGTTTTGTTTTTATACTCCTTGGTTTGAAAATGCAACGTCATAAATCCACCATATTGACTTCTAGACACCTGTAAGGACAAAAACTTCTTGTCTTATACAAAATGGGAAAATAAAGTAGAACCTGTGTCAAGTAAAAAGGCATTCAATAAATATGTTATTATGCTGCCATCTGTAAACCCTCTTTCTAAAAACGCATGTGGCCAAAAACTTATTATATTGTGTAATGATGAATATACTAATTATCCTGATTTGAGCATCACATACTGCACACAGGTATTTTTTTTTTTTTTAAAGATGACCGGTAAGGGGATCTTAACCCTTGACTTGGTGTTGTCAGCACCACGCTCAGCCAGTGAGCGAACCGGCCATCCCTATATGGGATCCGAACCTGGGGCCTTGGTGTTATCAGCACCGCACTCTCCCGAGTGAGCCACAGGCCGGCCCTGCACACAGGTATTGATATCCAACTCTGTACCCCACGGATATGTACAATCAAGTATGTTTCCATTAAAAAAATTAAAAATTAAAAAAAAATTGGTTAATGGACCCAAAGAATGATTATGTTTTGTGAAGATGAATATGCTAATTATCCTGATTTGATCACACATTGTACACAAGTATTGGTAGTCAACTCCGTACCCCACAATTACTTATATTTCAATTAGAAAATATATTTTAAAAAAGGAAAAAAATAAATAAAATAAAAATTGTATTTATAAATATAAAATATATTACTAGAAAAAAGAAATAAAAATGTACAAAATACAAGCTCCAATTTTTTTTATTTAAAAAATAAATAAATAAATAAATAAATAAAAACACATGTGGCCTATTTTAGACTAATGACTACTGGGAAGCATTTATTAGGTGGTTTTCATTTTACTGGTATGAATACCAGGTTCAAACTGTATCTACACAAAAACCGTTTTTTTAAAAAAATGTGGTGTAAAGGATTAACTGTCTGCCTATCACCACTGAGAAATACATAAACCAGTATGGTACTAAATTCAATATTCTGGCTCTAAGAATTTATAACCAAATCCTTAGCTAGACCAATTTCAAAGTACATATTGAGGGTGACTGTTTTTCTTTCTTTTTCCACACACGTGCCCAAACCACAATCTGTAATTTTAGTCCTTAATTTCTGAGCAGCGTCTAGCCCCATCTGTAAGTGGGATATAAATAAGATTAACAAATAGGATATTATAAGGGTGAGACACTGGAATTTCACAACTGGAACACATAAAATCATTTCCTTGTAAACTAATACTTTCCAAATATTTACAAGCAGATTTATTAAAAAGTGAAAATCATTTTGCCAAATTAGACTTCTGGCTTCTCAGTTTCATAATTGGTCCCTCCCCCAACCCCCATCCAAGCCCTTCCCTCCTGTTCTTCCTCTGCCAGGAATACCCTCCTGACTCATCTCTGCCTATGTCCATCACTTCCTTGGAGACCTGGCTCAAGATTCAGTTCCTTGAAAAAGTCCTCCCTGACTAATCCCATTCCCACTTACTACTTTCTAACTTTGCATTCCCTTGGCATTTATATATAGTTTGCACTGTATAATCAAGAATTTGATGTTTTTCCTCCCCATAAGTTGTTTTGCATTTTTCTACCATTTTCATTACTAGAAATCAAGTAAGGACCGTATCTTCTTTTGTATTTTCTTCTACACAGCCAGCAAGAAATGCTTCTCCAATGACTGTATCACCAGTGAAAGAAAGCTGATCGCTCAAAAATTTCTGAAGCAACCGACTTTCATTTACAATTTACAATTTCATCTACAATACTCTTATCACCTCCAACATGCATGAGTCCTTACAGGAGATGAGATTTAATTTTGCCTTAGTTCCATCAATTCATCATAAAAGATTCAATTTACAGATCGATCACATATATACTTAAGGTAAAGAATAATCCTGGCTATTCAAACATATCTTGTGATTTAACATTTCGAGTTTCTTATAAAAAGCCTAATAGTCTGGAATCAGCACGCCTATGAGTAGGTAGGAAGCTGGCACCAGTCTCTTGCAAAAGGGGCAAAACTCTACTTGGCAGTAAACGTTCAAACACGTGAGCCTCCACTGTTAAACAAGGCTCATTTAACCACACAAACTTGCTGTTTCAGCTTTCTGGCTTCAGTGAAATGCTATGATCTCCTTTGGTTATTGTTGAGAACCAATGATGGGTTAAATTCCCATAAATTAACCAGCATTTTGGTGGCTTGCCCAAGCATAACACTGGCATCGGTGAGGTTGGATTTTTTTTTTTTTTTAATAGACCCGCCCGCCCCAGGGAGCCAGAGGTAAGCGAGGAAAGCGCCAACCCGGCAGTTCTCGCAGGCAAACGGAGACCTACAGAACTCGAGCCGATCGCTCTCCCTCTAGTTCTTAGTGTCAGCTTATCGGGGGGGGGGGGGGGGGGGGGCATTCGCGGCTGCTTTTTGCTAAATCTCAGCCGAGTCTTCCTTAGCGGCTGCAAACCACACTTCGGGGACTGCCCAACTTTTCCTGCAAGGAGCATCAGTTTTTCCATACTCAGAACCCCAGAAAACGGGGTTTAGGGGGAGGGAACGGACTCGCCCCGCAAAGGGGGCAGGATGGCAGAAACAAAGTGAGCACCCGCGAGCCCAGGCCGCCGCCGCCCGCCCGGCCCCGCTCACCCTCCAGCAGCACCTCCTTGCCCGCGCGCTTCAGCGCCTGCACGGCCTGGTCGTGGGTGGCCTGGCGCAGGTCGGTGCCGTTCACCGACAGGATGGCGTCGCCCAGCCGCAGCGCCCGGCCCTGGCCCGCCGCCAGCCCCGGGGCGATT